GTTCGCAACGTTCTCAAAAGCATGGCATGATGACAGGTAGCGCGACCAGGTACAAAACCATGCAGAACTCCTAGATACGAAAGCATCCAACAAGTCTAACAGTGCTACTAAAACTTCCCCGGAGAAAAAAAAAAAAAAAGCGAGAAAAAGAGAGAAAAAAAGAGAGAAAGAAAAAATAAAAGAAGGGAAAAAAAGGTCGCCCCAGCCGGCTGGCCTCTCCACCGCCAGCAGGTCGTAGCGCCCGTCCGCGCCCACGCGGTAGGTGTTCTGCCCGCCCCCGTCCCAGCACACGGAGACCCAGTCGGGGCTCTCGGCCGCCACGGTGAGCCCCAAGTTCCCCGGCCCGTCCTGTCGTACCGAACAGCGCGTGGATGGAGACACTCCGGGAAGGTGCTTGGGAGTAGACAACCAAAGAAAACAACTGCCAAAAAGGGAACCAGCTCCAAAAAACAGACAAAAGGGTGACAACTAAACAGAAGGGGGGCTACGGTTGGGTATGGCTGGGGTTGGCCTGGGTTTAAACTTGCAGGTTCGATGTCCCAAAAGCGTCCGAAGGGAGCCCCCTGTTATCCAAAACCGTTCATTCCTTTTACCAGCAAGATATGCCCCAGGGGGGCTGGCCCAAACAAATGTTTTGAAGATGAGGTTCTTTGAACAGGTGCTTAAGCCATAGTTTTGAACAATACTGGCATAAGCCATGGTCTGAAACGGGAAACCTAAAGGCGTCCATGTATGAAAGTGCAGAAAAGCTTGCAAGGCAGGGTGTACCCCTTAAGTGGTGACACCCCCAAAATTGCCCAGGCAGAGAAATACCCTTTTGGCGGTTCAACCGGGGAGCTGAAGGGAAACAGTTGGGCGATTGAACCGTTTAAGCAGCTTGGCCAAACCTTGGTCTTTAGGGAAGACATTTGAGCCGCGCTTCATGTTTGAACCATGCAACCCCCTTGCGACCACAAGGTGTAAAACCCATGTTTAGCTTAAATGCCGCACCAAACTGCTTCACAAAACCCACTTGAGTCAAAATCGAAACCTGGTACAAAATGGTGAACCCAGAACCATGTAAAGAATGAGAAAGGCGGCACTAATCTTCATCTACCCGGGTTTTGATTGTGGCTCATTTTGGCTTCAAGCAAGCCCCTGTGTCAAGCCCCTGTGTCTGGTTGCCAACCAACCCGTCCTGGTCCCCCCAGTCCCAGTCGGGCCCGCGCCGCACACGCAGGCCCACCTGGCGAAGATCCGGGAAAGGGGGTGGGGGGGGTCCTCCGATTTGCTCAGACGAAAACCACCTGCAAGGAAAAACGCAAACCAAAAAAAAAAAGCGAAAACAAGGGGTGTGTCCGTTTTTGCTTCGGTGCGGTACCCTTTTCTTAAGGTTAAGGTACGGTGTCCCTTTTTTGTTTGGGTTCGGTACCCCTTTCTCGACTTTTGTGCCAAGGGAAGCCTATCCCGTTTTTTTTGAACCCGATTCCGAGTCTGATTTGGATCGCCTCAGCAGACCTCAGCAGGTTGGGGAAGAAGCTGAGGCTGTCCTTGGTGTGTGTGAGTTATTCAAAGCTTCAGGATCTTGGTACTAAATCCGTGTCTAAGGTTTAGGGATTAGGGCTTAGGGTATTTAAACACTATTTACACCTTTGCCCTTTGCCAAGATCGAGTTTAATCTGCTAGACAATATTTCAGTAAAGGGCAAACATGTAAAGTGGCTGTTCAATGTCGCCCCCCGAAACGTGGCCTGGAAAAATACAAAAATCCCCTAAATGACGTCCAGAAAGGGGTTCCAACCACTTGCGACTTTCACACCAAAGAATGGCCCAGTGTCGATGAGCACCTGCTGGGTTTCTACCGTCTCCGAAGCGAAGCGCACCGCCGCGAAGCCGTCCTCGCACAGCTCGCCCTCCTGCGGATGCGATTCGCCCGCCGAAACCCAAAACCACCAAAACCAAGGTCGTTGTTATCTCGCAAGGGACAAAAAAATACACATAAAACATGACACATGGGTGGGAGACGGAAAAAAGGTCCGCAGTTGAGACCATGGTTTAAAGAACCTCCTTAAAGAGACCTGCCTACATCATAGGGCTACCTGCCTCCTTCCGATCGCTGGCGCCCGGTGGTTTCGCGCTGACATGACGTGGTTTCCCATTCACTGGAAGGGTGCAGAATCCCCAAACCATCTGGGGGGAGTGAGTCCAGTTGGCGCCATAGGCACTTGACCTTCACCCTCTTGGCCTCAAACCCAAGTTTGCCGTGGCTGAAAACCATCCAGCTGTTGACAAAAACCGGCTCGTTTGGGTGGTTAAGACCATGGCCGAAAAATATCTGTCATGGTTCAACTAATTTACTATGTCAGCTTCCCTTTAAAGAGGTTGCTAGCCCCAATTCGTAAGTTCAGGTTCTGCAAATCTCAGTTGGTTATCCTTGAAGGGGAGCAACCAACAAGCTGTTCGAACTGCCCCTTTTGGTGTTTCAATCCGAAACGAAGGCTTCCCTTTAAAAAGGTTTCTACCCCAATTCGTCAGTTGAGGCTAAGCAAATCGTGGCTGTGTCTTTTTTAGGGAACCTTTTAGTTGGTTTAAGGGGAAACCAAAAGGAAAACCTGATTGTTTGATATTGTTTGGGGGGTCACCCAACAAAACGACACACACTTGTTTGCTCTCTCCTGGCTCTCCCCGAGGCACCACCCCAGAAGCGTGCCCCGACACCCCGGATCGTCACTCGCATCGAGGCGATCGGAATCGGAGAGGCCGCCGGCCTCGGAGGCGTTCTGTGACTCCGGAATCCCACCGGGAACCGAAAAGCAGGTGCTTGGCTTTTTGGTTCGGTCCCATGGTTTTGAGTACTCCTTTTTCCCAACGTGTTCAATGTGCTGAGACCAGCAACGGATACAAACAGATTGAAACAAAACAAAGCAACGGCTCCAATAAACACATGGGCCCAGGTGGTATCGGGACCCCACCTTACACAGCCCCTGGAACCGAATCTTCTTTTGACTCCTGGAGCCGATTTCGGGGGCATAAAACTAAACACTTTGGTGTTCAATGTACTTAACAGGGGGTCCCCAGCAGTTCCCCAAGCCACAGCTTAAAACAGTTTTCCTATTTTCGAAGCACTTGCTTAACCCCCCTTTTTGTTGGCCTCATCCCGCCTCTGCATCGGCGATACCCATTTCGGATCCGTGAGATCGGGAGCAGCGCACCAGCGCGCCCAGGAGCAGTTCCGGATGCAGCCTCCCATCCAGCAGCAGACGCGTCGCCGAGGGCGTCGAGGCGCGCAGGTCCCGCACCGCGCGCATGGCCCATCCGAGCGCGGCTTCGCGGGGTCGCTGCGCGTTTCACGCGGGAGATCGAAAAAGCGCCCAAGCGCCTAGGCGTTTGAGGCTTGGGGATGAAGAGGCCTAAGCCCAAAGTGAAGCTCCTGGATGTGGGAATTCTCTGCAAAATGTTTTTCAAGAGAGGAAGAAGACGGAACACAACCGCCAAGTCTGGGCAGTTTGCTTGCATGCTGGTCCCAAATGCCATAAAGTTGGTCAACGTTCAACACGGAAACTAAGCTGTTAAGTGATTTTTGCGTGTTCTGTTGTTCAGCAAACATGTACATGTTGCCAAACGTTGACCTGCATAGTGTTGTTTTCAATTGGCATGTGGTCTAAAGCTGAGCCATGCAACTGCTCACCAGTGTCCTCATGAGTTGATCAAACGAACAGGCTGCCAGGCGCAAAAAGAAACCAATGGTGATGTAGTCCACAAACTGGTGACGAATGCGAATGCCTGCCATTTCGGGGGGCCCAAATCTTGAAACGCAGCCTGCGATTGTGCCAGTCCCGGTCGCTTCTATATTCTATTGGCTCATGACACAACACAAACTGTCTTCGAGCTCATGTTTAGATGCTCGAGTCTCTGCAGGCATATGAGTAGCGGACAAGGTCCTTTCCGAAGTTCAAGTTGGGTGGTCCCATATATGTACTATATGCGCTATACGGTATCGAAGCCCCACAGAGCTGTATACTATACATATAGCATTACTACATGTGCCAAATATGCACTGTGTAGCACATATAGTGTATTTAACGCGCGTCTCGAGGCCATATAGTACATATAGCACATATAGCAGTGACCTGGGGGAGTGTGGAGGCTTCGATACCGTGCCGTATAGCACATATGCTACATATAGCAGCGACCTGGGGGAGTGTGGAAGCTTCGATACGAGCAGCTGCGAACTGCAGCGACGAACTGCAGCGACGAACTGCAGCGACAGCTGCAGACTGCGCCGCGCGAAAGCGCGAACATAGAACATCGCACCTCTCTCTTTAGAGGCTATTCCCCAAACGGGTTTTAATGCACCTGGGAGGGTTCTGACACTCGTCCGTCCAGGAAACGACCTCGTCCTGCGAAGGATTTGAAAACTAAAGCGCTGCGTACAGCTATGAAAGCGACCGCTAAATATGCGGTTTGGCAAAATGCCCCGCAGCTGCCTTTGCTTCTGCAAGGCGAGCCCCCTCAAAGGAAACGGTCGGTCGGTCGGTCGGTCGGTCGGTCGGTCGGTCGGTCGGTCGGTCGGTCGGTCGGTCGGTCGGTCGGTCGGTCGGTCGGTCGGTCGGTCGGTCGTTCGTTCGTTCGTTCGTTCGTTCGCTCGGTTGTCGGGGAACTGTTTTTCCCTGGTTTTTGCTCGCCTTGCAGAAACGCAGCTGCGCAGGCACGGGGCTGTACGCAGCACTTTAGTTTTCAAATCCTTCGCAGGACGAGGGTGCATTAAAACCCGTTTGGGGAATAGCCTCTAAAGAGAGACGCAGGCCATGGCCTTCGAGGCGCTGAAGGCCGACGCGGGCCGGCTGCGCTGGGCAAGTCGGCTGCTGAGGGGGCCGAACAACAGGCTGCAGGCCAACTTTAGTCAGAACACCCGAAAGAAGACCAGGTACGGCGTTTCTTTTCCACAAGCACAAAACGGCCTCCGGGTACAGAGATTCACAAACTGTACATGCCACATGTAATGTCCTATTCACATCACAATGAGCTAGCTCTCAAGTGTCTCCAAACATCAAACACCATGTAGGGTATCCACACGACCCTTGGGGTTGGTTGAAATATCTAACACTCCCCCTCAGCTGCCAATCTATGAAGCAGCTGGGAAAAGGGGTTCCTGTGAGACACTAAGCCTCTAGACCCGTTGCCACATGTCACTTTCAAGTGAGGGGCGTAAACCGGGTTTCGCTTTTCACATGCTTTCAACTCTCCGCAATCTCTTCTGAATTCGCTGCACGTCTCCTCAAACCATCTGAGTCATCATCATCAAACAGAGTTGTTCTGCCTAATGCCCATTGCTGCATTGCTTGCATCTCCGGGTCCAATGCGGGCACGTGTGATGCTTCTTCTCCGATCTCCGTCGCAGTTGCACTGCTGTCAAATGTGGTGTCTGCTTCAGCGTTCTCTTCCTGATCATGGACTGCCAGGATCTGCTCCACATAGGGTCCAAATCTTTCGTGCAAAGTCTCACCAGTGTGATGAGACTCATGAGAATCATTCATCTCCTCAAATCTTTCTGTGAGGTCATTCAAACGTGTATGCAATTCTGTACATTCATGACCCATAGCTTCACGCAAATTGTAAATTGTTGCCGTGAACTCATGCTCCAAATCATTCCATTTCCTTTCAACATTCCAGCAAATGTCTCGCTCAATGCGTTCCACTCTGCTGTCCAAATCTGCAAGTTTCCTCCAGAAATAAATCATGCAACCACACATGAAAAGAAATACCACACAACTGAATACACATATCCAGAAAAAGTAATCCATCCGTAGCGCATCATGCTGCAAAGAATCACATCCTTGCAAACTGAGACCCAAGGCCGTGATGAGCACCGGGGTCAATGCTTTGACCATCTTACACAAATTGGGATTGGGCTCAGTGGCCTGCACACGCAAGGCCTTGTGAATGTTGCCGGAAACAACACGCTTCACCTCCTCGTCAAATGCTGCACTTCCCACAATCTCCATGCTGGAGTAGTCATAAATTCTCAGCAAATGCAAAAGAAAATGTAGGCGATGTTGGCTGCGCCTCTTCGTTGCCAAATCTGACAAATTCCATCTCGTTGGAATGCCTTTCACCAAGAACTCACCTCGCTCTGTTCTCTGCTGCACCCAAAGAAGTGTGCAATCCACATGTCGGGCTCTTCCAAGGCCCTTCTTTGTCAAAGGCATCTCGCTGACGAGTTGTCCAAATGCAAACTGCATTCACACTCCAGACCTGTTAGGATAGAAATAATCTAGCCAAAAAGAGCATCTCCGCCGCGCCTGTGATAGCCGCGGTGAATTCTGTTTCGAATGTGCTGAGAGCGATGTTCTTCTGCGACCGCGCCATACAGTGTATCATGTTTCCTGCCAAGAAAATCTGAACTGCTGAAACGCTTTTCCTGTCCACTGATCCCGCATAGTCTGCATCCGTGAGAGTCTCAAGCCTGATCTTGTCAGAACTCTCGCACGCTGCTTCTGTATGAGGTCCCTCGTGCAAACGCTCAGAACTGAACTGCCAAAATAAGAAAATGCAAATAACTGACAATACTCACTCGTGCCTTTCAAGTACTGGATCAAGTGGGTCATCTCCTTGGCATCGCTGTGCCGAATCTTCGTAACTCTGGTCGTAAGAAAACGAACCGATGCCTGAATGTCGACTCTGTCCGGCGCAAGATACAATAAAATGCCAACTCCAGTCATAAAACGTCCTTGCTGCTCAAAATCCACTTCGTGTCCTTGTTCGGACTTGCGCCACTCTTGCTCCTTGCCGAAGTTGCCTGTGCAAGGATTGCGCTTGACTGCTGAGGCCTGCAAACCATACAACTGTACCAGTTGCTCAATGTACTTGCTGTTGGTCTTGATCAACAGACCTTTTTCACACACTTCAAATAATGACACACTCCTCCATCACGAGTGCAAAGTCCTTCCACCTCCACAGTGAGTCCGTTCGCCTTCATGACTTCCCAAAGCTGCTGGACCTGTTCATCTGTTCCAAGTACCTGCAAATCATCTACATGCGTCGTCATTGCAAGTCCATCTGCTCTGCAAAAAATGGCGGGACATGAGTCCAAACACTTCAACCCAATCTGACCAACCACTTCAGTCAAATGGTTGTACCATGCCTTGGTGCCAATTCTCTGGCCTGGGATGCACCTGCAAACCAACCAGTGCACTTGCTCACCATGCTCATCCATGTCAATGAGCTGCAAGGGTGCTACCTGGGGCACACAAAGAAACGCATCTTTCACATCTGCGCTCCACAGCTTCAAATCTGGATTGGATGTAGCTGCCCAAATACCTGCCAGAATCTTCAATGTCGAAGGCACACTTGATGGGCTGAAAAGAAACTGCATGCCAGGGTCCATGGTCTTAAACTCTTTGGCTACCATTCTCGCACGCCTAAGCCAAGCTTTGTTCCTGAACCGCCAGTCCAGGACATAACGCCACTGCAAAACTGGAATTCCTTCCGCTTCTTCTGCAGTGATCTGCTTGAGAACCTTCATCTGCAACAATCGCGCTTTCTCAGTTTCCTTTGCCTCTGCATCGCAAATCTCCTGGTCCTCTTCTGACAACACGGGGTGTCCTTGTTGTTCTTCATCTTCAAACTGCGGTTAGAATCTTGGTCACTGCTTCAAGCCTAAAGGGACATGCAGGGAAAAAAGCAACCGACCGGAGCAAACTCGATACGCGCTTTTTTACTTGAGCGTTGCTTAGAAGTGCAGGCTCAGAGATGCAGGTGGAGTGACGATGCGCGTCCACTCCATTGTCCCGCATCTCATGCGGAGCCTGTCGGAATACCCCCCCTGAGGTCAACATTGCGTGTTCGACCATCACACAGGGTGTTTTACCCGTGGGGTGTGAGACGAAAAAGAGGTATGTTGCACATGTATGCAATGCGTGCATGAGTGTGCATGGGAGGATGCGTCCTCCTGCAGGGGGCCAGTCCGGGCCGGCATAATGCCGACGGCATTCGTCAATGTGCCTCGCTGCGTATGCTCGAAATGGTCCTGCGGGAGTATCGAGATGCAGTAAGCCAACGAAATGTTGGGAGCTGACCAGCTTCCATTCATGCGGGCGCATGCGTCTCTCAATCAGGCCTTGTGGAGGCTGCATGCCACCTGGGCCGTGAAAGGGTGGGAGGGTGGGTTCAAAAAAGAACGAAAGGTCAAACCCTCCAGGCATGTCCCTTACCAAAGGGCTTGAAGCAGAAATGGCACGCGGCCGAAGATTCAACCAAGATTAAAACACAGGGGAAAAGACAAACCCCTAGCGTTAGAATCTTGGTCACTGCTTCAAGCCTAAAGGGACATGCAGGGAAAAAAGCAACCGACCGGAGCAAACTTGATACGCGCTTTTT